TTACTTACGAAGCTCAAAAATACATTTTCTCGAATTTTGGTGAGGCATATAAGTTAGAAATTTGCCTTAATAATCACAAGTTTTATTCTGTTACTCTTTTATTTGCTCAATGAGAAATGGCCTCCTTAATGTGTAATTTAGCCAAAGAACATTGTTCATTAGCAAATGAATTTTTCGTATATATTTTTTATGGGATTAGACATAAGTGCTATGAAAGCAGTCTAATGTGGTCAGATTTATGATATACTCTATGGAAATTATTGTTAGTATCTGTGCTTTTGATTAAATAATGATATTTTCCTTTAATTGAAAGAGTATTTATGGTTCCTTCAATTTAGAACAGTAGTTTTTTTCTGAAATTATGCTTGTGGGTGAAATCGTGGAATGCATGCTTTATAAAAGTAAAAATGAACATTAAAATAATGAGCAAACTGTTTTGAGCCATCCTAACCATTTCTTAGAGGCGGAGTAAGATGACAGGTGTTACAGAGTAATAAGCACAACCAATTTCCAGTTAAGATGCTGAAAGCTCTGGGATTTATGACTAAAATACCTTGTGGTGTGCTTCCAGGTGTGCCTGGCCCAGTGCAGCCATGAGGGATAGTCCCAGCTATCTGACAGCAGCTGATTGACCAAGGTGAAATGAGGCAGTGACATCAAACCAGGTCTGTACCAGTGTCCCCATTAAGGCTGGTGCTAATTGGCACTCCTCGTGGCAGTCTCAGAGGCTTTACTGAATCAACCAAAGCACCAGATTGGTCTCCTTGTTTGATGTGTATTGGCTGAGTTAGCTGGAAAACTTCTTTTTCCTATTTCTCTCAAAGAAACTATTTGTTCTGGTTGAGTGGAAGGTGTTGACAAGAGATTGTTGCTTTCTGACTTTCTGTGTATTCATACATAGACTTTGTAAGGGGAGCAGTGGTGAAAGATGGAGTATGGGTATATACGCATAAGAAATGCTGAACCATGAAAGCATAATCATACTTGTCTGGGGAATTATTTGGATGATTGGTGTCACGGCAACCTCTGTGACAACAGAGAGAAACTAGATGAGGGGAAAGACTTTTTCTGTTTATTTTGAAGAAGCTGTGTTCATGCTTTACTTTGTTCCTGTGCTCATCCCTCTTAGCCAAGTAAAATAAAAAAGAAATATTTTTATAAAGCATTGTAGAATACCAGAGGTTAACTGGAAGCAGAAGAGCCTGAAATGCATTAGGAGACTTCAAACTTTTTCTCATTCAATTCTTTCGTATAATTGAGAAATGTGTATCCAATACCATCTATCAGAATTACTATGCAGTGTGTCATAGTATAATGTAATATGCTGTGTTATGACCTGAACAAAGGGTTCTGAACCCAAGTTTCTGTGTTATTTTTCCAACAGTAGCAAACAGTACAAGAACTCAGCAAGCTCTTGAGGTTGTAGCAGAGTAAAATCTATTAAGGCCCCAACATGTAGCAACTGAAATAACTTATTATTTTTTAAAATCCATGTTCCCAGTGTTTTTTACATCTTTTTTTCTTGGAGAATGCCACAATTAATAAAGAGGGAGTAAGTACATTGAACAGTTTGTGAAGTTAGGGTCTGTTTGACTGTAGCAGTTGGGAGTTCATAAAAAATGACCATGCTGTTGCTGTGCACACAAACGTAAGCCAAATGAGAGCTAAACATATGACAGGTATTGTCTGCTTTTTTTACAGCCTCAGACCATAATCTCTGAAATTCTTAGCTTTCTACACAGGAATCTTCAAGTCATTCAGTATTAAATCCTGCAAATCTTATTTCCTCATATATGACGGGCTAAAAGCTCTTCACAGTTGTTTTGTTTCTAGAATATTCTGAAACTGTTCAAGTGTTAAGTTTACATATTTTCTCTTCAGTAGGTTAATTGGATTTAGTTAGATTGTAATCTTCAAAGATCACCTAAAATAACTAAAATATTCTCTATGTGACCCTTTTTCATCTTAACAGCTTTTGATAGACCCCTCTGAAACCCCTCCCCAGTCTTGGTCTGTCATGTTTTGATGTGCTCTCTCTTCTCAGGGCTTTTAGAACTATAAGCTTGGCTGGTTTATTTGGTATTTAGAGGTGTTTCCTGGTTTACTTTTCCAGCTTTATCCACTGTGCACTGGTTCTCTAATATATTAAGACAGAGGGGTAATAGGCAGATTTTCCCACTAGTTAAGTGGGGTAATGGAATATAAATCCTGTCATAACCAAAGGAAGGAAACGTTGGAACACTGAAAAAGAGAGCAAGAAGCATTTGTATGTACTTAGTGAGCGCAGAAGGCGTGTGACTGTAGGAAATAAGCGTTTTTAGTACAGGGTACACAGGTTTTATTATTTATTTTAGGTTATTCTGGAAACAGGATTTACAGATGTTGAAATTAAAAACCTGAAGGCAAAAGGAATTGAGGCTAAATTAAGTATTTTTAGAGAAAATTGTGTGTAACAGACAGTTATTATTTGAATGTAGGCATAAAGAATAGTAGACAGGGAAGTGTTTTATGATTTTCTAATAAATTCTTCTGATTGCTTGGTAAAATATTTTTCTATAGATAACTCTGCAGTGCCCATAATTTAATAGATTAGTCCTTGCCATCACTATAATCTTTATTACTATCCTATCAAAAAGGGGCTGATATTTCTATCCTTTCATGAGGTAATAAGTCTTTCATAGCTGTGTGCTTGGTTTGATTAATTCAAATGCATGAGATACCAAAGATGGTTAAAATTGTTTCCTCTAGTCCACAAAGAAACAGGAATTCAGAGAACTGTCCTGAACCTTCTAATATAATGTCATTATAATCTCATGAGCAGCATCTGGTTTTAGTAAAGAGCTCGGTTCATTGAGTCACCTACATTTGCTACTGATGCACAAATGCAGTGTCTAACAAACAGGTTATAAACAGAAGCTAGAATTTCACCACTGAAAGGCTGGTATCAAAACGTCCGTCTCGTTCTTCTTCAATATTTTTTTTAGTTGCAAACTCCAAAACACTTTCTAGCTGAAGTGTCTCTTGACCAAAGAGTGAATTTCAACTCTACTTTAAATATGTTTCTCTGCTAATTATCTTCTCCTAATCACAAAGTGTTGGCAGACCACAAATCAAAGGCGCTGTCCCAAACATCTTAGCCATCTACTTATGACTTGTTTAAAGGAACCTAATAAAAATTCGAGCAAGTTACAAATACAGTTCGGAGTAATTTTTCAGCTGGGTTGGTAGCATAATACTGCACTAGTTCGTGCATTACTGTCTGCTGGGGGAACTGGACAATTTCAATTAGTAATTTTTTTTTCCAGATCTCATTTATTTCAATCTGCCACATACTGGATTTTACAATTTGTGCAAATGAATGTACTTTAAAGTCAGAAGCACTGCCCAGTTGGACACAGTGGTACAGATCCTCAAGAAAACTCTGATTATGTTAAGGAGAAATAGTCTCAAAGCTATAACTAAATAGCTTAAATTGGTTTAAATATGTTAAGTGGATCGTTGTGCTTTTCAGGAACTGTCAGTTCTCATTAAGCTGAATAGTTGTATTTAGTTATGTGCTGGACAGTAATTGATCCAAAAATGCGTTATGTGTGATGGTGATATCCCTCATGAAATCTGTTCATCCAAAGTATTTCCCGGGTTTTGTGCTCTGCTAAATAGGTTGATTCATTCTGCTGTAATGAGGATACTGTTGTGCGGCTCAAATGTTCTTCCGTATGCTTGTGTTCATAACTTCTTCCTTTTTTTTTTTGCGTGCTCTCTCTCTGTTCCCTATAAAATCTTGGTACCATTTTCTCACTCCCAATTGGATGGGTGCAAAATAGGTTCATACACTATTTTAAAACCATAGCACCACTGGAGCTGACAAAATTGTGTTGAAATTGCTACAGTGTTGAAGTGTGAAAGGATATATGGGCAGTTGTCCTTTTGTATTCAAGACACAAAGGAGTTGCTCCCCATCCATTCACTGCTATCCATGTAACTTAGATAAAATCCTATGAGTTAATTTAGTGAAGCTTGTAATAATTCGAAGCCAGTCAGTGGGCCTGAAGAGCAGTCATCCAAACTGTAATCAGCACTTGGCTGCTTGTTAGGGGCAGAAATATATTATTTTACAGATACTGCTTAAAAATGTGGCAACATGATGGTTAATCTTCAAATCTGTGAAATTCATTGACAGTTTGAGAGGTATATAAAGTAAATTATTAAATTGTAAGTCACTTCATATATAAGCAAGAACCTAAAGTCCAGGGTTAGATACCCAAGAAAGCATTTGGCACCTCATAGATGCCATCTTCATCCTTGCCATGCCACTTCCCCTGCCAGCATGAGAATATTAAGCAAGAACCACCTTAAATTTATGAAAGAAAAATGCTAAGCAAAAAAATGCATCTAAAAGTGCTTACTCCAGTAACTAGGTGCCTGACTTGAAACTACACTAAAGTATTTATGATCCAGTGTGCCTCATCTGCTCGACGATTTTTGAAACAGCAAATACCACTAAAAGCAAAGGTGCTTGTCCCATCGCAGGAGCCCAGGACTTTTTTTTCCTGGTAAGTGGTATTAGCCCCAAGGCTATGCAGTCATGTTCCGTTTTGTCTGCTCCTCCTCTAGGTCCAAGAACTGTTACTCTTTTTTGCACTATGGCCTCACTTGACTGAGGGCCCTGCTCAGCACAGCAGACACCTTGGTGGTCGTGGCATTCCCAGTGAATGTGAAAGGCATCCTTTAGAGTTCCTGTGTGCTGAAAACATGAAGCTTTAGTCAGGTTTCCATTTCTTGAAATCAAGAAGGAAGGGAGTAAAGAGTTAAAGAAGCTTAAGTAGCTGCTGAGGGGTGGGTTGGACCAGTTTTCAGTGTTGACAGATGAAAAGTACTTAAACCATTACTTTGGGAATAGCCCTGTTGCTTCTGAGACAAGCAAGTGCTACTAATTCCTGCTGTACAAAAGGACACTGCAGTGTTAAAATTAAGCCTATTTATTTGTTGCTTTCTCACAGGAAACAGATTCGAGCTCTTCTAGGACAGTTTAGCCAGTCAGAGGCTTTGTTAATCTCTGCTGGATTAGAGCCAGGGACTCTAGATGGAGTTCTCTTGGATGCTGGCTGTTCTTCTATGCAATTTGATACACCTGAAAGAGGATTTTCCCTGCAGAAAGATGGACCTTTGGACATGAGGATGGATTGGGACAGGTACCTGTTAATAAAATATTTCTCCTTGAAACTCAAAAACTGTATGCTTAGCACCCCCCATTCATTTAATTTCTACTTAAAATGAAGAAGTTTCATCATCAAAACACATTTAATTTAACAGGAGAATGCTGCCTTTCTTTTGCCACAAAGCTTTTTTCAGTCTCAATACTTAGAACACTGGTTATCATCTTTCCCTTCTTTGAAATAAGAGGAATGTTGATGAGTAGTTACACCAGTAACATTTTTGTTAACGATGCCATTAAAATTTTACAGTTTCAGTGTGTTTGGAGTTACAGGGGATCTCACTTTCAGAGCCATGTCTTCTCCCTGTTATTCCTGCAGTTTCTCAGACTGCACATGGTCTGTAGGCTCACAGCTCCTTAGTGCAGTCCCTTTCCTTTCCTGCTACACTTACTATTTGTGGAACCTTTACTTGAGCACGTTCAGTTGCTCCCTCAGGAAAGGAGCAGCCTTCCTCTTTTTCTGCAGTGGCCATCTGACCCAGTTACTGCTCTCTAAAAGGAAGGTAATGGAAAATAAATAAAATCAATCCCATCCATGATATCTGCCAACTGAAATCAAATAGCAACACTGCTTTTAACACACTAGTATAATGTTGTCTTCCATGCCCCTATTTATTGCAAGCTTTCTTTAGCAATATTATAAGCTTCCTTTCACATTCTGTATGGAGGAGGCACATCATGCTTACTTACTTATCAAATTAACAATTACTAAATGAATTACCTCTATTTAAATTGCTACAATTGGTGTCTAGGATGAAAATCAATGATGGAACGATAATTTCTTCTTTATGTAGCAGTTTTCATCTTTAGCCAACCCAGTATATTTCTGTAGCCCTCTGCTTTTCACGTGACCAACCAGAGACCTCTGCTGTATAGATGATGCAGTAATTGCCTAATGCATTATTTCTTGCATTGTGTTTTGATGAACCTGTAGTCTCAAGAAATGTCATTTGATCTTTCATTGCTCACACAGAGCCGAAGGGAAGCCTCATCTTCTAAGGAATTATCACATTCATGTTAAGTCTTAACACAGCAAATTTCATGATAGTTGCTTTCTCCGGTTCTGTGTGAAAAGCTGATGTGATCCTCCTGGGATTCAGCCCTCTGATTACAAGAATCTTAACTCCAGGCTTGTATTTGCATTGTGAGAATATGTACATGGAACAGGAGCATCAGAACAAAGGATACCTGTGGCATAACAAAAGCCTTACCTGATGGTTGTTGCTATGATACTGCTTGCCTCCAAGTTTTGTTATCTTTTGTAAGATACTGCAGGAGGGTAATAAATGCCTGAAAAATATTCTGCACATTCATGTCTTTGTAGAGGAGAATTTATTAAGTAGGTTGTAGGCTTTTTTCTGATTGGTAAACCAACATATGATGGTCATAAAACACCTTGAACTATTTCAGTAGCAAAGGGGCAGAGAACAAAAAAACAATAAATATGTGGCTTATACTGTTGATACTGTAATAATTCCTGTCATTTGTAATATTAGGTCATTTATATTCTCTCAAAACAGTATTTGAATATAAATGCTTGTGGCTTTTACTGAAAAGTAAAGTTAAATAATTTTCATGAGCAATTGTTTTTGTAGCAGTAGATGTGAAAGAAAAGGTCCTTGAAATCATTTCTGACTAGAAACTAACACGTAATGCAAGGTGACTAAAAGGAACCAGTAAGGGTCAGGTTTATATTTTGAAGCTGGCTAAATAAAAAGTCACACAGCATTTCCATCGTACTGAAATGTATTTTTTCTTGTCAACTCATTGAGCATAGTTTATGATATGAAAGTTTTGGGTGTTCTAATTGGTGTTAAGAAGCAAAACCCATTTAAAGGGGCAAGATAAAAGATTGAAAAGGTGGAAGCTATCTCTGTTTTCATAGGGTTGCTGTCTCTTATTTGAAAACCTCAAAGGCACTTGTATGCAGTGTGTGTGTTTGACTTTATGTCTCAATGCTATGAAGCTTCACCTCTTGTCAATGAAAACTGACGTCAGTGAACTAATTGGCTCTTCTTGTGCGTAGGTACCCTGACATGCCCACTGCTGCTGATGTTGTGAATGCTTTAGATCAACAGGCGCTTGCGTCCATCCTGAGAACATATGGGGAGGAGAGACACGCCAAGAAAATCGCTTCAGCTATCGTTCAGGCACGCAGCATATACCCCATCACCAGGACTCAGCAGCTTGCAAGCATTGTTGCAGGTACCCTCATTAATTCTTCACAGTGGCTGAGAAGAAAAAGATATTAATCCCCAAACTCCCAGAGGGATCTATTTGTACTTGAAATCATTCATACAGGATCTAATCCTGCCTATTCTGCTCTGATGTCAGTATGCACTCTGTCTTTCTTTTTTCAGCTCCCACTTTTTGTATTATAGTTTGATGATTAGCCTAATGATAGATTTTGCATGAAGCGATTTATCATTTTGCCAACCAAGTTGAAACACAGATTGACAGGAGCCTAGGGAATCCTTTATCCCCACTATTGATAAGCTTTCAAATATCAATGCATCATATACCTCTCAGTTTTAGATTTCTACGTTTTAATATTTTGAAGGAAGTTTCCAATTATGAATGAAATCAGTTCCTTTCTGTCTGCTTAAAGAACCAGGAAGCAAAAAGTAAAGCAATACCTAGCTTGCTTCATCTTGTGAATGCCAACTAGATCAGCCTGAAGCGACTATTGAAACACTTCATCTTACTTGCTCTTCACTGTAAACAACTTGAACAAAATGCAGTTATGTGGGAACTGTGTTCACATCAAGAACCTTCCTGTTTGTGTTCTCAAGTGAAAACGTTCAAGGAAAAAATTGAAGACACAAATCTTGTTTATTAACATTATAATATGTAATGTTAATTTCTTTTTATAACCAAGAAATTAAAATTACTGGGTCTTGTCACAGACAAGTCCAAGCTGCTGATTCCTTTGAGTACAGACTTAAAGTGGCTGTCCAGATTTAATATTTTCTGAAGAACAGTGTTAAATGTTGTATCATTATCCTGAAGACTTTTTAAAAATAGATTCTATTCTTAAAAAAAATGTGTTGCTTAAACTGGAAGTTCACAGGACTTACGTTTAATGACCAACAAACAAATCAAAAGGTTTGAATTTGTGTAAGTCGTGATGCTTTAGCAAAATGTCCAGTCAAGCAAGGCCCAATTTTTAGATGATATGGTTAAAGGACCTGAAGATATTGGTTGCTGTTATAAGTTCCTGGTGTAAATACAGTGAATGTGAAATGTGAGGAACAATCTGAAACAAAGAGATTAAATATTGTGAGTCTTTTATGAAATTTGAAGAGTTATATTTTCAATGTAATCATTGTCATCAACATTATGAACAAATAATCTGAAAAGATGGTGTACACTAGCTTAAACTAAGAAAAGCAAAATACTAGTGCATCAAGTACAGGGATTGAAGATCCCTTCATGTTTAATGTGTTGCATGTGGGTCATCACTTAGTGGTTACTTTCTGAGACAATGAGAAGGTTTTTTTGTTCTCACTTTAAACCACTATATTTGAAGACCACCTTGATACATGAATCAGATATGCATCAGATAGTGCACATGCGAGAGTCAATGAATCCAGCACATAGCTGCCAACACAGTAAATACATATGGTTTGGTTTTGGTGGTTTTTTTTTTAAGTACATGCAAATTTTTGAAGTGGATGATTTTAGGACTGTTAAACTGATCTCTGTTTGGGTAGAACTTCTTCCAATCTTAATTTCATTCCTCCAGTAAAGGAGTACAGTGATGGAACATACTAGTTTTTGAACTGATTATACCTTAAGAAAAGTTCTGGTGACTATATTTGTTTAACTTACGGTTTTTCATCAACATGTATTCTTATGTAAAAGACCTGTGAAGTTATTGAGGTAAGCCAGAGTTTGAGTGCTAGAGACCACAGCTACAGGATCCTCTTGGTGGCACAGCACAAAGAAAGCTCCTCACTAACAGGTCATAGAGTAAAATCTGTGATGTCCTGTAGTTAAATGTCAAGTTCTTTAAAAAATAAAATATTAATTAGAACAATCAAATCTTGCACTTTAGATTTTGCAGACTCTATAAAAGCATGAGGATCTTTCCAGAACATGATTTTATTTTGTCTAGTATAGGATCAAGAAAACAAGCAAAAAATCTAGCCAGTGAGGCTGGGTATTTGTCTCTTTCTCTGCCGGTGTCAGTATCTGAGAATTTATGTATAGTCCATATTTCTTTATAGATTACTATATAGATTTTCTGGAACTTAAAAGTTTGGTGTTACAGTCCCGCCAATAACAGATTTGGACAGCTAGACAGCTAGATCTGGACTGGAAAAATTAATTTCTATATATAAAATCCTAGACTTCTGGTCTTTCTTACCAGTAGGTTAGAATGTGTACTGCTGTTGCTAACTGATTTGGAGGTAGGAGTGAAGAATGTATTTAAAAAGCAAACAAACAAACCAGATACAGAACAATCAGCTATGTCTAAAGCATGTATTAGCAAGAATTATAATTTTAAGGTATAGATGGAAAAATATATAAATAGAATTTTAAGTCAAGATCACCAACAACAGCTTGAGGCTAACTCAGATATCCAAGGGATTTCTTGCTCTCCTTTGTTCCAATTCAAGAAAATAATTCCTTCCGTTTCTTAAAATAGAGCCTGAAAGATCTCTCCCTGCAAACTGTGCCAATGAATAAGGTTCTACAAGAATGGAACCTACAGGAAGTTTGGTGCTCTTTTTTTTTTTGCGTATGTGTGGGGTTTTTTCTACATATTATCAAAAAGGCTTTTGACCTGTTTATCTAAGGAGATGCCTGTGAGCATGCAGTCAACAGTTCACATGGGGAAAAAGGAGGAGTTTTTTGTTCAGTCATGCAAACATCATCTCTTCCTGCATCACAGCTGGACTTTTTGTTGCTGTTTATAGTTTTTACACAGCTATCTGCAGTGGTGAATGCTCTGTAAATGCTAAAGATCAGTAGTTCTCAGCTGCAGGTCTGTGAATAGATGTGCGGAAGTCAATTAAGTGCTTCTGATGGCTTTTGCTGTAGCTCATGTCTGATGGCTTTTGCTGTAGCTCATGGAGTTGTTTTGAAGCAGTGGGTTTAACTCACTGTACTGGAAATCCAGTTAGGGAATCTTTTAGAATGTGATTTTAATAATGCTTTTTCTATACAACCTATGATCTATTTTTACTTTTTTTGTAGGTAATATACTTTATTATCTAACAGAATTCATTTTTTTCTCAGTGATGTTTACATATGTAATCTATTAACAGATCATTTTAGGGTCATGTAATCACTTGGACTTGAAAAGAATTGATGAAGAGGTATTAAAGACATTTGAAAAGTTTAAAAGGAACTTTAATGGGTAAAGTTGGTCTCAGACTGCTTCACATTTATAGACTTTAATTATCAGTTTGGAATTTGTAATGTTGCCTGAATTTCAGATGGGTGAGGATGAGCACCGTACTGAGGGAGCCTAGACAAAAGGACATTCCTTGCGTCATAGAAACTTATTAAATGCAATGCTAATTCAACAGACAGATTCCTGCAAACAGGTGCACGATCTGAATTAATTTTTAAACTCTCCCACTCTCAAACACTCTGGGGACTTTAATAATTCCTACTGACAGGCACAGCACATTGTTCATTTCATTCACAAGCTTTAAAATTCCAATACATTTCAACACTTGAATCTATTAGATTTTTACAAGTGTGAGTAACATCATGGCATCCCACACCTAAGAATGATAATTTTTCTCCCTGGGATTTGAAACCAGTCATCTAGCCAGAAGCGTGGTGTTTTTATGAATGAAATTCATTTTACAAGCTTCCCATGCAGTTTTTTTATATTTCTGTACATTGTACAGCCTGTTACCAGGAAGGATTTTCTTCTAGTGTCATGGTAATTGGAGGGGGCTGGGTGAGAGATTTTGTGCCTTGGCAGAAAGCACGAATAGGTTTTTATTTAACTATACCAAAGGACTAAGAGTGGGGTAGGAAAATTTTTCACCTCTTGATCATAGATCAAAATCTACTGTCTTTACTAAAAAGGTGAAGGCCAGTGTGACAGAAATCACTACTACAGATTGATTAGTTAATCCCAGTCTCTGAAGACAGACCAGTAAGCCTCTGAATTTGGAAATGGTTAGATTTTGGCTTTAGTTTGGAGGGGTTATTTGAAGAATGCTGCAAATCGGCTGCATTTTTTTTTACCAGTTTCCTGCATATTAGTGTTCTGTACCATTATATATGATGCACAGTGCTGTTTATACACCTTCATCTGTGACCAGTAAAGTTCTATTATACATCCAGAATATAGCTGGGTTTTAATTTATTTTTCTTCATGTAATCATTAATCGTCAGAGGGGATTGTTGTGGGAAGAACCCAACAACCCTGGCAGGACAAATGGAGGTCCTTCCAAAGACATGGTAGTGCCAAATTCATGCTGCTAGCCTGAGTATTTCCTTTCTTTTACTTACCTATTCAGCAGTGCAATTGGAAAATAGCAGGAGATGAAACTTGCAATATTTTGCTAAAGTTCCAGTGAGATTGGCTGTGGAAATTTAAACCAAGGATCTCATCCTAGGCTTCTGGTTTTATGGTTAGGCTCCAGTTAAGTAGCACAGTCAGTTTTGTACCTAAATTACATTCTGTACTCTTGCAGGTTGGCTTCATTTTTATCTGTGATACTTTGGGAAGCTGACATACTCTTAGAATATCAGAAATTGATCGTTCCCCAGAAACTGGCAGTATTTTTAGGAAATCCTTAGTCTGCTAAAATGTGATAGTTAACAATTCTGGATCTACTTTGAGGGGTGAACACCAGCTCTGGGCAGGTAGTAACAACCCAAAATCACATATAAAACCGATGCTTTTCTCATCACAGCTGTAAATTGTTCAGCAAGGGGCAGGAACATTGGAGGTTGAACTGAAAAAATGTAGCATGTTTTCTAACCGTAATGTAATTTATCATACTTAATATTTTGTAATGGAAAGGTGCTTCTTCATTCCGATTTCAACTGTTTTCCTAAAGGGAGCATGATAACAGTGGACTTGGATTTGGAAGGGAGGAGTGGAAGAGTGAGGTGTACTTTTAATGTTTTTTAAAATAGGCTTAGAAAAAGAGATTTGTTAGAGAGAGATCGGTGAGGGATCTTCTATAGGTATTTTCTTATTCAAGGATTGTGTAACTGAATTCAAAAGATACCTGAGTATCTGATGTTTCAACTTCAAATTCCATTGAAGCAAAATGCTTATGGTCTCATGGAGAATATGAAGCTATTTATTCACGTAGTGCATATCCTTTGGTGGTTTTGGATACGTTACATGATGATTTTAAACATTGCTGCTTCATTTAATAATTATTCAAAAGTTCTGAGCATACTGCTGGTGTGGGTAAGCTGTTAGTTGACCATTTAAAGAAAATTGTTTATTTTTCTCAGCAAAACATTCCGTTATATTAGGCTTCAAGAGACAGCTTTCTTCCCACACAAGTAGCAATCAGTGGCAGTTTCAATGATTCCATTTCCAAATAATCAAGTCTAGGTATGTAAAGAATTACATAAACAGATAACTGTCCCAGGTAGTAGAAGCTTAGTGTCAGTTGGCTTCTTGGGGCATCTTGCCTTCTGTGGTTCTGTGTTCTGCTTTTAGTTCAGCTCTTCAATCAAAGCAGGCTTCATGACTCTTAAAATGAGGGTATAGATGCTTTTCATGATTTATAGAAAAGCATAGAGGTTGGTGTTCCCAAAGACAGAAATTCTGTTAGCTACCTAGTGTACCTGTTTCTGGAGTTTGTAAGTGATGGAGGAGTGTAGCTCCTGCATGTTAAATTTATTTGTAAAACAGTATTTATTTATTTATCTATTTATTTATTGTAAAGCATTATCTTATGTATTTATTTGTAAATTTTGTAAAACAGAGTTTAAAGTTCCTGTGTGGTAGTTTGTGCTGGTAGAAGTTGATCCTGTTGCCACTTTCTATATTGAAAGTGTGTAGAACTAGGAAACAGCCATAGAGCTATGATTGGTTTCTTCATTGAATTCAGGAACTGTTGGCATTAGAGTCAGAAGAGGTAGGGAATGTAGTTGAGAAAATTGAGGATGCAGAAATGCATATTAGATACATTGCATACATGGTAATAGCGTTGTTAATAATTATTGGATTTTTAAATCCCATTATTGGCCTCTACCTTAGCTGAACACTGGCGATTGCTTCTGTGTGATGCCAAATACTTAGGCTTTCTGACATAACTATTTGTTTTCTTACCTTTAAAAGTTTAAGTTTTTAAGTTTTTTTTAAAGTTAAAAGTTTTTAAGTTTTCTTACCTTTAGAACTCTTGAGAGTTCCACTAATAAAATATTTTATGCCAACGTACTGGATTATGATGTCTCTATTAAATCTTCAATCACCTGTGTAGATGTAAATTCAGTCAACTTGTTTAAGAGGTAGCAAGTTCTTGTTCTCCACTATGTGGAATATCAATTACTTGATTATTAACTGCATTAACTTTAAACTCATTGCATTGTTTTAGTTTAGCACTGGCATTTAATTAAAGCATTCTGCTGCATCCATACCAGCTGTATTGCCTTATCTTGAATGGGCCCTCTTGTTTGAAAAATTAGTTCTTTTCAGTTATGCACTAGCATTATTCATTCAGTTTATCTTTACCAGGCTCCTTTGCTCACTCACACAATAGTTTATAAGTTTACTCAGGTTTCAGAGATGTTGTAAGACTCTTGCACTTCAGTCCCTTTGGTCCATCAGATCTATACTCAGATATTGAATATTCAAGCTAAAAAAGAAACAGCATCTGCAGTGTTTTCTGAATTTCTCACGGTATTTTTGTGAACATTTGATAACACACAGGTGTAGAGGTCAATAATTTTTAGTGCCAAACAAGGATGTCTCTTTTAAACTTTAACTAATTTATTGAAATATACTTATCACCAGATAGATGCTGTTTTCATCTTAACTATGCTTTCTTGGCAGGTAGAGATATTTAGAAGGCAACAATTAAAATTGTTCCCATCATATATTTTATTTTTTACTTTTTTTTCCTTGAAAGCATAGAACCAACCACCATCAGTACTGAACTGACACTGACTACACTGAGCTGTAAAGTGAAGCTTATCTAGCCTATCTTCATATTTCCCTATCTTGGTTTCGAACATCAAACCATCAGTTTGTATTTTCACTTTTTGACATGTTTGGGGAAGGAATTGCTATGAAAGATTCTAGGAAAAAGCCCCAACACTCAACCTCCAGCCAGCTCAGTTCAATAGAGTTTAATTTCAGCAATGTGAGTTCAAAGCGGGAAATAAAAATACATTATAAAGAAGGAAGCTCACCACTCAGGGTTCAGTTGTAAGTATGCTTTCCCTTAAAATCATCATATATGCGTGGGCTTATGTCAGGATAGCAACGTAGAAATACCAAGATACTAACATATACCTTTCAAAATGTCCAACAGGTGCTTTTCCAGCATCAGCACTGTATGCACGGAAGGATTTGCTGCAGAGACCTACACATGTTGCTACCAAAACTTTCCGAGCTCTGCGAATATTTGTAAATAATGAACTCCATGAACTCCTTATAGGGCTGAAGACAGCTGAGAAGTTTCTAAAACCTGGAGGTCGCCTCGTAGCCCTCTCCTTTCATTCACTAGAAGATCGTATTATCAAACGTTTTTTTCATGGAATAGACATGACAGAGAAGTACAATCTTGGTGCAAAACAGAAGATAAGACAGGCTCTGAAAAGTTGCTCCAAAGAAGATACAGAAGAAATATCCCCTGGGAAATCCAATTCAAAGTGGATTTTTATGCAGAAAAAAGTTCTCACACCCCAGGCCAAGGATATTCAAACAAACCCAAGAGGAAGGTCAGCCAAGCTAAGAGCTGCTGTTAAACTCTAAAACGAAACAGATGATTGTATAATTGTATCATTTCCTTACATTTTGTTTTCCAGAAGGCTAACTGGGATAGTATCAAACTGGAAAAAAATAAATTTAAGGCTGTTAGAAAACATTTCTTTCTTACCTTTGTGTTTCCTTCAAATTAGGATGTAGTGCAGAGCATCAGAAGGTAAAATAAATAAATTAAATGCAGATAGGTGGGTGTCACTAATTTTGCAAAAAAGAAATTTTTTAAAAAGAGCATCAAACAAAGAGTTTATAGAAGTTACAGGTTTGATGTATTTGTAGTGTTTTCTTCAGATTTAATTCAAATTCCTGACATTAACAATCAACTCAGTAGCTGATTGAGACAGATCCATTTTTATGGGGTTTCACACATGTCAGTCAGATGGCTGGTTTAGTCTAGGGTAAGTTTAAACTAACCTAAGAATTCATGATGCCCAAGTCTCTTTTTCTCAACTGACTTTTTGCATGGATGCTTGTGGGGCAAGTGCTAGCTCTTAAACAAATAAACTGGTATCTGTATGTTATGTTCTATCCAGGAATTTGTAAATTGACTCTTACGTTTTCTTCTAAATAAATATTTGCTTTTTGGAGTGATCACTTGGTTATTTATTGATTATGGAATCTAAATAATAAATGTATATTGGGGAAAAGGATACTTATAAGAGCACTGTTTGCACTTGAACACTACAAGCAAGCAGTCACATTTATACTTGGCCTGTTCCTGTGACCCTAACATCTGTGCATAGACCCAGTACAACCTTTAGGTGTGTATGGAATTCTAATTAACCCATCCAGAAAAGGTGTTGTGAGTCTTATGAAGTGTCCTTGTTTGCTGGTGATCATTTATGAAAAGGTGCTACTTAGGTAAGTATTGAAGTATTTTATCAAAGGCCCATTGTAGCCCCATTTTCCTATTTGGATGCTATACTAGGTAGTGGGACATGTAACAATTTATTTTTTTAGTAAGTCAATGTGAATTGGATATTTTAATAAAAGACCATTGTGTCGCTGTCTTTGCATGTTAAAAAGGATTGGAAAATAGCGTAAAGTTCAATTTCTTTGACCTCTGATCCATCTCTTCAGGAATAAAAGACTCAATATTGTTTAATTAGTTGGTCATGTAATGTGTTCTTAGGTATACATGATAATATCTGTCACTGAGATGAAGTTGGGTGGTGATGGGCATTTCATTATTTTCTGAAATTTCAATATTTTTCAACTAGTTTCATTCTACCTGCTGCTAAATATTAAATAAAACATTCCACTTCAAATAATATTACTTACTGTTGACATCTTAAGAGACAAGAGACTATACCTTAAATAGACATTTTTTCATGCAAACATTAAGTATATACAGCTAACATTATTTTTAGTTAAAATTTGATACTGAAATGTACTCCAGTTGTAAGCTGGAAAAATTGTAGTGCCATGCTGTGCAGTTTCTTATGATTGTTGAACCTAGTGTAGGTCAGGTTTTGTAAATATACTCCCTCAGTTAAGGACAGTAAGAGATTTTTCTTTATCTCTGGGTTGGAGTTGTGTGGTCATGGCACGGCATCAGTCACTGAGCTTGTTAGAGGACCTGTTATTCTCAGGGTCATCTCGCTTTCAGCTTTAAACCTATGGTATGGAGAGTCCTGGAATTGTAACTTCTGGTTACCTGAATAAAGAATTTTCTGGGTTTGCCAGAAAAAAATCTGTCAAAGTATTCTTGTATCTTTAAACATTTAATTTAGTAGGTGAAGTTATGTGGAGGCTATTAGGTCTTCATGTTCTTACCAGGACACATGTGTACATTGCATAACTTAAATTATCCTGGCATAGTACATGTGACATGTTAGCAAAACTAAACTTTTTTTTCTTTTTACCACCATCAAATATGGTATTTATGAATGAGATGGTATCTGGTGGAGAATTAGTCTCACTGAACACCGGGTCATGCTGTAAAGGTACAAATCGTGTATCATTCCTGAAATTTGCTATTCTACCTGAGCAATTTACATTTTCATACAGTGGAATGCAAGATTATCAACAAGAAAAAATATTGTAGACCATGTTTATGAGGAATATAGAAGCATCTAATGAGTAGAGACATACAATATGGGTAATATTTGTAGAGAATATCAAGTGGTAGTTGTAGAGAGACAACAGTGTTGCCAGACAATACGTGCATGCAGAGCATATTGCTAAAGTGTGTATCTTCTCATGTTAGTACTTCAAAGGGTGTGGGGAAACTTTAAAAAGGATCAAAAAACAGCTATGAGACTGCTCATATGCGTTGTCAACATACTGTCCATTAAAATGATTAGAAAACATGATTTAATTAGTTAATCCAACTGAACATAAAGACTTGATATGCTGTTGAAAGTGCCTACCTGTTGTAGGGATTTGCACAGAGTAATTAACAACTAGACACAGTTACCTGTGAAGAAAGTTTTTATAGTAAATACATAGTACTTTATAAAAATATAATTTTAAAGTATAAGCACAGTTAGCCACATTTATAGCCCACGGGGACCTACCAAAAACTACTACTTCCCTATTGCTTCCTAAAGAGAAAGGATGTTTCACTGTTTCAGAATGCAAGGGCTTAATCACGCTGTTTTCAAGTAATACCGGGGTTTAATATCTTTTCAGGTTCTTTTATCTATTTTTTTTAATATTACAGGTGATTAATTTCTCAGTATTTTACAGTCACACCTGCTGAGATTGCCACTTGACTTGGAAAAATCACAGTCTGAAACATCAACTTTTGTACAGATGAATTGGTATTTGATGGATGGAAGTTGGAAGGAGAGAGATTCCTAATGGAGTGTGAACACGGAAAGTACTTCAGTAAATGCTGTTGGCAAGTGAGCCTTCTAGTAGCAAGTATTGGATAAGACTTTTTGCATGCTGCTTTCCAGGGTTGCAATTCTATGATTGCTAATGATTCATATAATTGCTCTAATACTACTCTTTGCATTGCAGAAGACACTGTATTAATTGGAGAGTTTATACTGCTTAATAGTGTAACAGCACAATGAGGGAAAACATGAGGAACTGTGCCCTGAGGAAAGGTGACTTGCAGTGCTGGGATGATTGCAGTAAGCAGTCTTGGATACAGATTGCTGGGGATTTTATTTGACTAATTTAAATTTTGAATAACTTAGATATCAGTCTTGACTCGTTGTTTGGAGTATCACTGTACAAAAGTACAGGTGAACAATTAGACAAATTTGAGCATACAGAAGTAATAAACTCATAAGCAAATTTGTTGCTGTCCATCTTATTTAACATCTTTACCTCTAGCAAGAGTAATGAAGGGGTTCAGGCCTGCTTCACTTATGCTCCAAAATCTCTCCAGGAAGGGCTCTTCAGTAGTATTAGGACCATTTACACCTGGATTGCAAGCACTGTCTGGTGGTCTCTATATCCATACGTTTATGTTTTCCTGTAGCAGTTGCTTAAAACTAATCTGTAATTTAGAATAATATGCAATGTTATTATTTCTAAGTCTCTCTGAACTATACCCAAATGTGGAGGTCGTTTTACACCTAAGGTATGCTAAAATTAAAGCTGGATTAATTAAGACTGCAGTGCGACAGTAAATCTTGCAACTAATTTCAATGAATGTAGAACAGCTTCTTCCCTCCCCTTTCTCCCAGCCACTGTAGAAGATAGAAGAGAAAAACATGTTTAATTAAAAAGAAAAAAGAAGTAACGTTTGAACACCTTAGGAAAAAAGTCATGAGGTTGTCATCCAATTTTAACACATTTTCATATATGCAGTATTCTGTTCCTTTTCTGTTCATTGGCTGTTTGGGTTTAAGCAGCAGCAGTACAATAGTTCAGTCTCCATCCATGGATGCAGAGCAGGGTTTCTAGTGGGAAGTTATATATAGTTATAAATCCAGCTCTGTATATTCTTTCCCTCTGTCTCCTTTGCAGTTAGGATTGTGTTTATCTTTCTGAGTCCTCTGTAAGCTTATCCCAGGGTGAATGAGAGGGAAGGGTTTTCCTTTCTCAGAAAGCTGTAATACGTGTCATCCAACTTTATTAAAATTAAAGCTGTTGAATACTTGTCGTCTTCATATATTTTAGTGATGAATTGCCATGGTTTTCAATATTGTTCACACCACTAAGACAGGGAAAGGAGCAAATATTTGTTAATGTGAAATCTGAGCTAAAAAGAGCAGGTGATCAGTTGCCTGAATGTCTTGCTGACATAGCTATGTTTATAAAAACTAAAACCTTTTCATTGTACCTTGATCTTTAGGCAAATTACACTTTTCCTGATGCTTTTAAAACCTACTTCGATTGGTTGTAACACTGAAAAAACAAGCTGGGGTTTTCTGAAATGTATGTTTGCAAATTTAAACGTGAAAGCTAGGTTATAGCTGTCTCTTTAAACAGTAAAACTGGAGATACAGCTCCCTCTATCTGTCCTGGGAATACCTCTGCTTTGTTCTATTTGGAGTGCACCTGCAAATGATTATACTAACAGCATGTTTATTGTCAACACGAAGATACAAGATAAAAACAGGTGGGTAACTTACAGGTCAGTAGTTGTTATAATTATGCTATCTGGAATTTTAGATGAATAAAGAGTGAGTCATCTTCTTATCTGAAAACCCTTCAATCAAGATAGCTAATTCAAACAACAATCCCAAACTTGCACAGTACGTTTCTCACACATGTAATTTATTATTAGAATAAAATATATATGTATAAAACTTCTAGTTATTCTTTAGTGCATATGGAATTTTGACAGGCATAACATTGGCAAATGTATTTCATGTTTTGTTTACTTCATTAAAAGAAATGTTTATGTTGGTGGAAAAATTTGGATAAACAGTAAAACATGACAGGATACGACAGATACACAGTGAAAATAAATGACGCTACATAAGTCACATTTTAGAGTTCATACATGCCAGAATACCTGACAAAAACCTTAAACTTAGGGTTTAACGTACTCCATTGTCATTTGTTCATGTGCCAGGTTAGAGCCTGGATGTGATCCTGGTAGAATGTAATCTGCTTTTCACTTTGAGATTGGCCGTGGTTTATATTTGCACTGAATGTATACTAGAGCTCAGAAAAAGTCTCTACTAGGCTAATGATGTTATTAGCGTTTAGTATTTTCTCTTATTACACGTATAACATTAATATAGCAACATAACATGAGCAAGGTTATATCACAAGTTAGCATAAAAAAAACCCTCTCTCAAAGCATTGTGGTGTAACTTGTACACTAAAATGTGTGGAAGCTTAGTAATAACTTAGTCATCAGCAATTCAGGCTAGAAAATCTTAAATTCAAACTGTATTTTAAGCTCATTTCTACACACCTTTCCTGTAAATGGTATATTTATTTTTTCTTAATCAGAAGTAGTTTCATGCTAAAGAACATTTCTCATAGACTTCGTGAGGAACTGAAATAAGTAGTGTTGATGGTCTTGAGTGGTAAGTATCTGAAAATTAAAATAGCAGAAAAACTGTTTTGTGCAAAACTTCTGTTCTCTAGAGTAATGATGTGTGTGTTCCTGTTAGTACATGTGCAGCCTGAGAGCCTGATCTTGCAACCTTTACTTATAGGTACAGTGTTGTTGC